AGCCAGTCATGGTAAACCAAGCCAGGTCTGTGCTCCTGAAGATGTGACAGTATTGTGGCTGGGAGCAATGCCAGTTAACAGAGTGCTGGATAACAAAAGTTTCACTGTATTTCAAAATGTAATACATTCCTGTCCACCCCAGTCATGCAGCAATGCTGAGTTTACAGGATTAATTCCTGGGAATGCGTACCAAACATAACTGATTTGTTTGATGTCACGTTAGTTCCAGAAGTGTAGGTACCCTCCCGCTCCCTGTTGCTGAAGCGGATCCTGGGTACAGTATTGTTTTCTTTTCCCAGCCCTACCAATTGGCTTACATTGGTTGATAATATCTAGAAAAGGGCTTAACAATAAAAACAGAAACTCTCCTTTATACTTTTAGCCCTCACTCAGCAGGTCTGTGTGCTTGGCAGTGTCCAAACAATAATTCTGAAGGGAACTAGATAGAGGTGTGGTTCTCGACTTTTCTTAAGTCTACCATATCCCTTTCAGGGGTCTGATTTGTCTTGTGTACCCCAAGTTTCGTCTCACTTAAAAACTACTTGTTTACAAAAGCACGGGGCTCTGGCCAATGTGGCAATAGCAGTGGCTGGCAGCCCTGGGTCCTTTTACATTGTTGGGCCCCTGGGCAACTGCCTCCTCTTCCTCCTCTTCTTCTCCCCTCCATCAGCAGGCCTGAGCTGAGGAACAACCTGTCTGTTGTCATTGCTGCTTCACTGAAGAACAAGCGTCAGAAACTGATGAATCAGAGTCATCACAACCTTTAGGATCTACGGATCCGAACAGGCGGGCCTGTGAAAAAAGTTTGAACTCTTACTACAGTAAAACCTGTGTTATCTAGCACACTCAGGGATTAGGGCGTTCTGGTTATCTAAAAATTTCGGTTGTCTAAGGGTCCCATCAACCTAGGAAAAACCAATGGACAATAATAGTCAAACTAAAGTTTTTAATATTGGTAGTTTTGTAGTGTGAGGCAGTTGGTCTCACATTTCTATTCTGAGTTAAAGATGATTAGTGCTTCTTAAATAAAACATTGTTAAGCCAGTCATGGTAAACCAAGCCAGGTCTGTGCTCCTGAAGATGTGACAGTATTGTGGCTGGGGGCAATGCCAGTTAACAGAGTGCTGGATAACAAAAGTTTCACTGTATTTCAAAATGTAATACATTCCTGTCCACCCCAGTCATGCAGCAATGCTGAGTTTACAGGATTAATTCCTGGGAATGCGTACCAAACATAACTGATTTGTTTGATGTCACGTTAGTTCCAGAAGTGTAGGTACCCTCCCGCTCCCTGTTGCTGAAGCGGATCCTGGGTACAGTATTGTTTTCTTTTCCCAGCCCTACCAATTGGCTTACATTGGTTGATAATATCTAGAAAAGGGCTTAACAATAAAAACAGAAACTCTCCTTTATACTTTTAGCCCTCACTCAGCAGGTCTGTGTGCTTGGCAGTGTCCAAACAATAATTCTGAAGGGAACTAGATAGAGGTGTGGTTCTCGACTTTTCTTAAGTCTACCATATCCCTTTCAGGGGTCTGATTTGTCTTGTGTACCCCAAGTTTCGTCTCACTTAAAAACTACTTGTTTACAAAATCAGACACGAGCATCACATTGCACTACTGTGGAAAAATTGCTTACTTTCTCATATTTATCACGATTGGAAAATAAATCAGTTGGACTATAAATATTGTATTTAAATTTGAGAGTGATCCTAGAGCCATTTTTCACTTGTCTTGTTTGAAGCTCAAGCCCCAGGCAGTGGGACTGAAGCACATTACTTAGCTTTGTAGGGATCCCTGTGGCATGGGACTATAGGCAGTTTCTCTGCTTGCCACCTCTTAATGCCTGCTCTGAACTTGCAGTTCCCTAAACATGTCCCATGATTCCCCTGAGGGCTGCATGCCCCAGGTACCTCTGGAAGACTTCTGTGTGTGTACCCCTTGGGGTATGTATTCTCCTGGTTGAGAGCCACTGACCTAGAGGAACCTCTCACAGGAGCAGTGGAGGGAGAGCATGTAGCTCTGGGTGGGAAGACTGTGAGGAGGAAAAAAGAACAGAATTGAAATTTTAGGGAGTATTGTAGGGAGAATTTTACCTTACTGCCAACTGAGGTGGAATACTTTTTTTTAAAAGCGTTCCATGCTAACATTTTGACAGTACATCACTAGATAGTGTGCTGTATCTGTACCATATTTTTTTTTCTTGCAACTTTGAAATTATTTTCAAGTTGTTCTCAGGCAGAGAAGCTTGAGGATTATTTCCATTCACCCTCACTTAGCTCTCCCTGGTTAGACACTCTATTATGGAGTTTATCTGAACAAGGCAGCATCCACAGTTCCAGCCATCAGAAAGGGGTGTGGCTAGGGCAGACAAAAAGGCCGAATCTGCTCTGCGCACATTGAATACATTGAGTCAAAATCTGATGTGGCAATTTTGTGGATGAACAGAGGCTCATGATTCTGATAAAAAATGCTTTTTCCCTTCAGGCTAAGCAAACTAAAGCAAGACTTGACTCTGAATGCTCCTTGGTTGGGCTGTTTCGTATGTGTTATATACACTTACACATTCTCTTTTTCTGAGAAAGTCATGTATAATATTTACACCTTAACTACAACTTCTGCTGTTTGAACAAATTATCAAAGAATGTATTTAAAAATAAAACAACAATTTAAAGTTAAATAAGATTTGTTGCTAATAATTGGGCTAACTGCTGTACCTGTCAACAGAGAGTAGCAATGAAGGGCTTCTGATTTTCTGTTGTGGTGTAAATGCTTCCCCATTATATTCTTTACCATAAAAAAAAGACAATTAATGTACATTGCTAAGCTTCGCCACACAGAAATATTAAAATAAATCATCATAAACAGTAATTGTTAGATTCCCGTAAAGTGATGTGTTGTGTAAATTGCATCCAAAGTACAAGCAGGATAGGCCAAAGTTCAAAATCCATGTCTGTTGTTTGTATGTACTGTTAACATTCTAGACAAGGTACACAGGAGTTGCAGTACCTGCCTCCTTCATACAGAAGTTCCATGGACTTGACGCTAGTCCTAGAGACTCAGAAAAGAAAGCGTTTTGAGATGGTGGAGGAATCATATTTCCATCTGAAATATCTTAACCACGTTTATTCCATTAATTAACCTTTTGCATTCACTAGTAGGTTTTGCAAACATACGAGAGCTTGCTGTCATACTGGATTAGAACTGCTGGCACAAATCAAATTAGCTTACTCTTGCAAAAAGGTTATAAATGTCTAAGTACAGGCACAAAATTTGCACAACTTCCCATTATCAAAACAATGAAAAAACTAATAATTGTATTAGTGTAACTGTGTTAGTATGTAGACCACAGTCTGATTTCTCTTGTCAGGTGAACACTATACCAATCTCATCAAGTAAATAGGATCAAGTTGTATTTCTTCACTATTCTCATCCCTAGATGGAACTCTTTTGCCTAGTAAAGATCGTCTGTCTTAGGTTTCATGCTAATCTTTCCCCTCTACAAATGTGGGTGGCATTAAGGATACAGCATGTCTCAAAGCCTGCAAAGCACTCAGCACCAGATGCAGGTGGAAAAGAGAGAAAAGATAGAACAGTGGTCCCCAACGCGGTGCCCGCGGGCGCCATTCTCATCCCTAGATGGAACTCTTTTGCCTAGTAAAGATCGTCTGTCTTAGGTTTCATGCTAATCTTTCCCCTCTACAAATGTGGGTGGCATTAAGGATACAGCATGTCTCAAAGCCTGCAAAGCACTCAGCACCAGATGCAGGTGGAAAAGAGAGAAAAGATAGAACAGTGGTCCCCAACGCGGTGCCCGCGGGCGCCATGGCACCCGT